CGGTTCCGCTCCGCCCCCACTCCAATTGGGGTCACGTGACCACCACACCGGCAGGGCCTGATCCGGGCGTGGGAGAAGGATCTGCTCTGCCCCTACTCCAGTTGGGGTGACGTGTGTACCACACTGGCAGGCCACTGGGCCTGACCCGCCAGGCTGTCACAGGTCTGTTTACCTTGCAAGCGTGAAGGGCGGCTCTGCCCTGCCCCTCCTACCACGCCTATGTACCACTGGGTCGCGGGTCTGCCCACCTGGCGGGTGTGGGTGGCGGCTCCACTCCGCCCCCTCTCCAATTGGGGTCACGCGGTCACCACGCTGGCGAGCCGCTGGGCCTGCTCCGGGCGCTGGCGGCGGCCCGGCTCCTCCCCTCTGGCTCGAGGACAAATTGAGGAGACTCGGGTGACTGTGCCTCACCCCCGCTACCAGGAGACCAACTGCTTATGTCACCGCTGGTATTGATGAAGTTCTCTCCTCCGCTGCTTTCTGCTGACATCAGATCTCTGCCATGTTGGTATCCTATGCGAATGGCAGCATTTCATTCCCCTTGCCGGGCAACCAAAACAACGGGTGAGTCCTGACCGGCCCTCAGCAGGACCCGGACCGAGACGCAGTTTCCGCGGGCTCCTAGCCCCGGTCCAGGGAAGTTCCGGGAGCCGGAACTCGGCCGCTCCGTGCTCGGTGTAAGCTCCTATAAGTGTAAGCTCCAAGAAGCAGTCCCCGCAGGCTCAGTTCCAGGAGCCGGAATTCGGCTACTTAGTGCTTGGTGTATGCTCCGATAGGAGCAGGGTCCAAGAAGCAGCCTCCGCAGGCTCCGCAGCCCTGGGCCAGGGCAGTTCCGGGACGGTTCCGGGAGCCGGAACTCGGCCGCCCCGCGCTCAGTGTTCGCTCCGATAAGATCAGATTCTAAGAAGCACCCAGGCGCTGAACCCTAGCAATCTGTCTGCAAGCCGCAGGTGAATTGCAGGCTGAAATTACCTGTTCTATGGCTGAATGAGCTGCGGTCAGTCGAAAACAGGGAAGGTGACGTCAGTTTACCAACATGGTGGCTGCTGGCCTCCTCTGTGGTCTGACCGGTGTGGAGAACCGAGATGGACCGCTTCCTTCCCCCGTCTCGAACCCAGAATTCAGCCCTGAGTACGGTGCTTGCGCGGCTGGCAGAAACTGCAGCGCTGTAACCCTGCGTCTCTATCCCAGCGCGCGCTGCAGACTCTAGCCGCGGGGCGATTTGCTGAATAAGCAGTGTTACCCTCCGTGCGACAAACCTCTCGCGTTTGAGTCCCCGTAGCCGATCCTCGTGCGATGGAAATCCTTCCTCCAGGTTCCGTAGCACCCCACTATTGCTGGAAATTCCTAACAAGATATCCTTTAGCCGTCCTGACTTGTCATACTCCCACACAGTGAAGCAGCACACGGGGGCAATGCACTCCCCTCGCCGCCATCTTCCTCCTGTTCTGCACCGATTCAAACTGCCGTTCTTTATTGACAGCGCCATAGAGGACACGAACACTCCTGCCCGAAGGGAACAATAAAGCTTTCGCCATTCAACAGCGCCGGAGACGCCAGAAGGCGGCCATCTTGAGGCCGGCGCGGAAAGATCAGAAAATTGGAAATTCATATGCAACAAAATGAAATTAAACCCCTCTCTCTCACCATGCACAGAACTCAACTCAAAATGGATCAAGGACCTAGGAATTAAACCAGAGACACTGTGCCTATTAGAAGAAATAGTAGGACTAAATCTCCACCATGTTGGATTAGGCCTGACTTCCTTAATAAGACTCCTATAATGCAAGAATTAAAATCAAGAATCAATAAATGGGATGGATTCAAACTAAAAGCCTTCTTCTCAGCAAAAGAAACAAACAGTGAGGTGAATAGAGAGTGAACAGAATGGGAGCAAATTTGTACCACATGCATATCAGATAAAGCACTAATATCTAGGATATATAACAAACTCAAAAACACCAAAAAAACAAAAACTCAATCAATAAATGGGCAAAGGACCTGAACAGACACTTCTCAGAAAATGATATACAGTCAACAAATGTATGAAAAAAAATGTTCAGTATCTCTAGCAATTAGAGAAATGCAAATCAAAACTAGTCTAAGATTTCATCTCACTCCAGTCAGAATGGCAGCTATCAAGAATACAAATAACAGTAAGTGTTGGCGAGGATGTGGGGGGAAAGGCACACTCATATACTGCTGGTGGGACTGCAAATATGTGCAGCCAATGTGGAAACCAGTATGGAGATTCCTTGGAAAACTTGGAATGGAACCACCATTTGACCTAGCTATCCTACTCTCCTGTCTATACCCAAAGGATTAAAAACAGCATACTACAGGGACGTAGCCACATCAATGTTTATAGCAGCACAATTCACAACAGCTAAACTGTGGAATCAACCTAGATGCCCTTCAGTAGATGAATGAATAAAGAAAATGTGGTATTTATACACAATGGAACATTACTGAGCATTAAAGAGAATAAAATAGCATTTGCAGGTAAATGGATGGAGTTGGAGAATATAATGCTAAGTAAAGTTAGCCAATCCCAAAAACCCAAATGCCAATGTTTTCTATGATATGGGGATGCTAACTCATAATGGGGATGGTGGGTGGGGAACATGGGAGGAATACAGGAACTTCAGATAGGGCAAAGGGGAGGAAGGGGAAGGAAGAGGGCATGGAGGTAGGAAAGATGGTGGAATGAGATGGACATCCTTACCCTAAGTACATGTATGAAGACACAAATGGTGTGACTCTACTTCGTGTACAACCAGAGATATGAAAAATTGTGCTCTATAAGTGTAATATGAGTTGTAATGCATTCTGTTGTCATATATAACAAATTAAAATTTAAAAAAATAATTTTTTAAAAAATGCAAAAAAATAAATTTCAGCTACTCTTTATGGGGTCTGAAAACAACTAAAATATAAACAAAAAAGAGAAATAAATTTTACCATTTGTTGAGGCTATTACCATAAATATTACCTAATTTTTCTGTTTTGCTTTGGTTTGGCTTATTTGACTGAATTCTTGAAATATTGTTGCCAGTCTCAGATTTAAAAGAGTACCTACTTTGATGGAATTGTTAGTGGCAATCAGGTATAATGTAGTTGACATTTGACATTTGAATATTTTTCTGTCAATCTATAAGCTCTTATTTCATACCAAATATGATATTTTACAGTTATCACTGTTTTTCATTACCAGCCTTTTCAGTATACCTTTACAATGTATAAGAAAGTTTTCATATTATATGATAAGTCTTTATTTACCATGAATTTTCTCTAGCCATGGCAATTTTTCTTTTTTAGTTTTCAGTGCTTAAGCTCTGTGACATGTGTGCTGCTCTTCCTTTTCTTAGAAGCTTTAGCAGTAAGGCAGATTACATCTTACTAACCATTAATTCATAATTTCTTGGCCTTACTTTATATTCATAGAGTTTGTTCAGGATATGGCACATACAGTGTGGGAACAATGGAATTTAAAAATTCTCAAGAACACAACCCAACTATAAGGATTTTCTGCTGCATCCTTTGGTTCACAATGTTCTTTGACATTATTTGATGCTTGGTTCTGGTGAACAAGATTTTATATCTGCTGTCTATATAAGCTTTAGCTGTACTAAACTAAGGTTTTGTTTTATTTGGTTTTTTAACTTATTGCACTTTTACTGTTTGTTTACAAACTTAACTTTAAGGATAAGATAATGCTGAATTTAAAACTCATCATTTGGACATTTACCCAAAGTACTGGGGATTTAACCCAGGGGCATTTTGCTACTAAGCCCTTTTGGCTTTTTATTTTGAGACAGGGTCTCACTCAGTTGCAGAGGGCTTCACTAAATCACTGAGGCTGGCCTCTAACTTGGCAATCCTCTTGTCTCAGTCTCTCAAGCTACTGGGATTACAGGTGTGCACCACCATGCCAAGCTAAATACTAACTTAATGACTTTTAGTGTTTATTACTTTGAAATAGAAAGTTTAAATATTGCTAATAACAAGGACTTGACTTAAAGTAAAAGTTTGGAAGAGCAATAATTCTTTTTAAACATAATTATGATTTTGTTGTCATGGTTGCACATACATGATGAATTGAATAAGAGTTGGAAAATTAGTATTCTCTGATTTAAGTCCCAGAACTTTGAAGTTGTGAGGGCTTACAGGTCATTTTTTAGTGAAAAACTCATGAGTACATTAGTCTCTTCATTTTCAAGAATATAGAGTAAAGGATGATCTGGCACTGTTTTGTATTTGGATGACTTGCACTTATTATACATACTTTGAAGATTTAGATTTACATCTATAACTAGAAAGTATACCAGTCCAAGTTCTAGTTATGAGGTCAGATTCTTATTGAGAATTATTTTTATTTCTGTCAAATATTAAACTATTGTTGCCTCCTTTTTAATTAGATGCTGTGAAAGATTTTGAACTATTAAAAATGGATTTTTAAATGGTAGCACTCATCTCATATTTTCCCTATTTTCTTTTTCAACTTCCATAAAAAGCTTCCTTCTTGGCTTCTACTCTAACATTTTCTGATTTGCTTATTTAAAACAAAAAGGAAAAGTAAAGTCTTAAAAGCAGAGAAAACAAGCTTAAAATAGAGTATAAACTCTTATTCTAATTTGAATAACACACATGTATAGACATCACTGTTTTTACATCCATCAGAAATATCAGAAGGAATGTATATCACCAATTTAGAATAATTATTCCGTGGAATGGGACTGGGGATCAGAGTTACTTTTGAGAGAATTTGGGGGGATGAGAGTTTGAGAGTTTCGGAGAAAGCCTTTTGCAGTTTGTTTGTTTAATCATCTAGTTCTTGGATTTATTAAAGCTAGTTTTTTATTGGAAGTGAAGTTCGGGTTTTTAAATAACAAGTTAAAGATGTCACTGTGCTCCAAGAAATTACCCCAAAAAACAATGAGACATTTGAATCTAAATGTCATATTTTTTAAAACAGCACATATCTTAACCTAAGTTATAACATGAGAGAGGAACAGTCAGATACAGTGAGAAAATAAGATGCATGTGATTCAAAAGGGATGCTACATGGGCAGTTCAGCCTCCTCCTCCAGAGCTGTGGTTCCAAAGTGTGAGCCCCAGGTCGGCAGCATCAGCACGCAACCAGACCCCACCACAGATCTGCTGCAAGACACACTTTGTATGGAGCCCAACCCTCTGGCTTAGCATCAGTCAGATTCTTGAAGGGGTTAAAATATACTGTTCTGATGTTCAGTATTTAAATTAAAGGCTCTTGAAAAACAGCAGGTGCAGAAGACCACACTGAACTTCACATTGATTCTGAAAAACAGAAGATAAAATTCCCATGTGGACATGCAGCATCCTTACCCTCAAGGACGTTAGTCAAGACCAAAATAACTCCATACAACTATTGTTAAAATAACTCACGAGTTGCTGCTCAGGTGCTCCCAGTTGCGGAGCTAGCACGCCCGCCAGCCCGCCCCTCTTCCCGGCCTCTCCACGCGGAAAGCAGCTGCTAGGGCGCGGCGTCGCCCCCGGGTCTGAGAAGACCGCTGCCTGCCTGCAGCGCGCGGGCCCGCCCAGGCCGTTAGAGTCTCGGCGCCAGTTCGCGGGGCCCCGGGCCGCCTCGGAGCCATGAGCTACGGCCGCCCGCCTCCCGATGTGGAGGGCATGACCTCCCTCAAGGTGGACAACCTGACCTACCGCACCTAGCCCGACACGCTGAGGCGCGTCTTCGAGAAGTACGGGCGCGTGGGCGACGTGTACATCCCGCGGGACCGCTACACCAAGGAGTCCCGCGGCTTCGCCTTCGTGCGCTTCCACGACAAGCGCGACGCCGAGGACGCCATGGACGCCATGGACGGCGCTGTGCTGGACGGGCGCGAGCTGCGGGTGCAGATGGCGCGCTACGGCCGCCCGCCCGACTCGCACCACAGCCGCCGCGGCCCGCCGCCCCGCAGGTACGGGGGCGGTGGCTACGGCCGGCAGAGCCGCAGCCCTCGCCGCCGCCGCCGCCGATCGCGCTCCCGGAGTCGCAGCAGGTCCCGCTCCCGCAGCCGCTCGCGCTACAGCCGCTCCAAGTCGCGCTCCCGCACGCGCTCCCGCAGCCGCTCCACCTCCAAGTCCCGCTCGGCGCGCAGGTCCAAGTCCAAGTCGTCGTCGGTGTCCCGGTCCCGCTCGCGCTCCCGGTCCCGCTCCCGAAGTCCGCCGCCAGTGTCCAAGAGGGAGTCCAAGTCCCGCTCGCGGTCCAAGAGCCCGCCCAAGTCTCCGGAGGAGGAGGGCGCCGTGTCCTCGTGAGCACATGATGTATCCGAAAGCAGCATAACAGAGGACTTGGGGAAAAAAGGACTACATACTCAGTCCGTCGGTCCATCGAAGAGTCCTTGGAACAAGCAACTGGCTGTTGAAAAGGTTATTTTGTAACATTTGTCTAACTTTTTACTTGTTTTAATCTTTGCCTCAGGTGGCAAACTTCATTTTATGTGCCATTTTGTTGCTGTTATTCAAATTTCTTGTATTTAGTGAGGTGAACGACTTCAGATTTCATTATTGGATTGGATATTTGAGGTAAAATTTCATTTTGTTTATATAGTGCTGACTTTTTTTGTTCGAAATTAAACAGATTGGTAACCTAATTTGTGGCCTCCTGACTTTTAAGGAAACGTGTGCAGCCATTACACACAGCCTAAAGCTGTCAAGAGATTGACTCAACATTGCCTTCATTCCTTAAAATTAAAAACCTACAAAAGTTGGTGTAAATTTGTTTATATGTTATTTACCTTCAGACCTAAATGGTAATCTGAATCCAAATTTGTATAAAGACTTCAGGTGAAAAGACTTGATTTTTTTTTTTAAAAGGATTGTTTACCAAACACAATTCTAATCTCTTCTCTTATATATTTTTGTGCACTAGGCGCAGTTGTGTAGCAGTTGAGTAATGCTGGTTAGCTGTTAAGGTGGCGTGTTGCAGTGCAGAGTGGTTGGCTGTTTCCTGTTTTCTCCTGATTGCTCCTGTGTAAAGATGCCTTGTCGTGCAGAAACGAATGGCTGTCCAGTTTATTAAAATGCCTGACAACTGCACTTCCAGTCACCCGGGCCTTGCATATAAATAACGGAGCATACAGTGAGCACATCTAGATGATAAATACACCTTTATTCCCCTGCCCCCCCCCACCCATGGTAAATCTGATCATCCTCATGTATGAACTTAAAATATGGAAAATGTTAAGGAAGCAAATGGTTTGTAACTTTGTAAGTACTTAAAAACATGGTGTATCGTTTTGCTTATGAATATTCTGTACTATAACCATTGTTTCTGTAGTTTAATTAAAATGTTTTCTTGGTGTTAGCTTTTCTCAAAAAATAAATAAATAAATAAATAACTCACATTTTAAGCCATACAGAATTCCTTGTAATAAAACTGAAAAGAATAAAAAATAATGTAACTGTTTCTTCAAAAGTTACTATGATTGCCCAATTCAATATATAACTAATCAACTTTGCTTCTCTGGTTATTCTTTGCTTTGTGAGAGTTTTCTGATATCTATTTCCAATCTATTTCCATCAGTTTAATGTTCAGATCCAGACAGAACACTATAAGTATGATGGTGTGTTTTTTCTGCTTCTACATTCTGAATGTACGCTAAATTTTGGAATCGTTGTAGTGACCATAATCGCTTGTTTAGAGATATGAGAACTGCATAAGAAGGTTGGTAGTAAAGACTTCCCCAGACATGTTTTAAAACAGAGAGAAGCAGGTGGGCATGGATGACCAAAGGATCACATAGTCCTACTGTAGTTTTAGGAAGCTATCTTGCCAGTAAGGTAATATGGTACATGTGAATCCTAATCATCTGATGGCAGGGGAGCTGTGGAAGAAAAAATTAACTCATGGTTAGCATGAAGATTTACACTGCATTGTACAGCAAAGCTTCTCAAACTTTAAAGTGTGTCCATGTCACCTGGGGATCTAATTTAAAAGCAGGTTGGAATTCATGGAATCTGGCTCAAGATGGAGCTCCAAGTTTGTAAAGAATGTTTTGTGTTCTTCATGGGTAATTTATGCTGCCTTGAAACACAGCCTGTCCCCTTCTATAACCAAACACCTCACAGATAACTTGCTCAAGAAAGACACAATCTTAGCAAACATGGGAGATGATTAAAAGGCCCCACATCACAGTAATACACAGAAACTGGAGAAGGAAAGGAGGGAAGAGACGAGAAAAGCAAACAACACAGAAAGAACATTCACTAACACAGCACAGAGCAGATGTAAATTGTCCCCAAAAATGTGTCTAAATATATTTAAAGCTCATAAAGTAACTGTCTCTATGGAAGGAAAGCATGAAATAAAAACTATGCCTGCTCAGAAGAATGCAGCAAAACAAAAGAAACTGGTAGCACCTTCATGGACAGATTTCAGGAAGGTGATAGTTTTAAAAATCTCAAATACAATGTTGATAGCAAAGATATTGATAAAGACAGAAGATACTGAAGTAAGGGCTAAAGACAGAAAAGAATTTTGAACAAAATAAAATGAAAATGAGTCATTAGAATAAAAACTGGCGATTGGGAAGCTAACAAAAAGATCCAGTACATACATAATTGATGTCCCTACAAAAGCAAAACACACTTAAAGTATTGACTTGAGGAATGGAGATTTGCATAGACTCCATCTTACAAAGTTTTGCAAAAATGAAATTATAGAGAAAGATAAAGCTCTTCAAACAGTGTCTATAATTAAAAAGCTAAAATTTGTGACAGATGTTTCTGATTTTGACTATTATGACAGCTAATATAATTATCTTTTTCTAATGTTTTTTAACTTATTTTTAAACACGGTCTTGCTATTTTGTGAAAGCTGACACCAAACACCTGGAGTCATGCAATACTTCTTCTTCAGCTTCTTACATAGCTGGGACTATGGGCATATGCCACCACACCAGGCAACTAATTCTATTATGACTTATTCTTACAGTATCTTTAAATGGAAGGAATAATATTGTGATCAGCATCATTGATGCCATCATAATTATCACCCTTATACTATGCACAAAGAAGCTAATGTTTACAAAGTATTTGTAACCTGACAAACATATATATATAAATAAACATATACAATCGGAGAAACATTATTTGAACCTCCATTATTTTATTCTTGCTGCATGTTCATTGCATTCCCATTAAGCCATACTGCTATGATATTTTATACATATTTAATTATAAATAATGAGAAATGTATACTTACTTTATAATTTCTAATTCATACAAACTTGCTCTTACCCACATAAGTTATACCAACTTGCAAATAATTCTAGTACAAGTTGTTTTACCTTAACCACTAGAGTTGAAAACAAATCAGTATTAAGCAGCACTTATTTACATCTGGAAAAGCCTTGTGTGTAATTTCAAATGTGAACATTCCTTCTCCCAATTTGAGGCTTCCAAACACCAAATTTTTTAATACCATTGTAGCAGAGCTGGAGATATGCTCCCGAGATTCCTCTCTAAGAAAAGGTTTGCATAGTTACCAAGCATGTCTTTAGCTGACTGCTGTCATTTCCAGGTCAACCTCAGCTTTTGAGTCAAGGGCAAAAAATTTTTTTTCTTTAAGAAGAAATTCCTAAAGAGTCTCCAGTCAATGACTGGGCAAGGATCTAGCACTTCTGACCCATGTGGGATGCCCTAATGTATACTCCAGAGCTCCCCACTGGGCAAGAAGGAGGGCTGTTGGGAAGTAGGAGGACTCCTCCTGCCAATCCTGTCAGTTCTTTTCCTTCCCAGATGTTTGCACTCCTCACTGCATTTCAGAGTCAGTTTCCTAGAGATGCCAACAGCACAGAATATTCAATATAGTTGGGGGAATCATGCAGTAAATAGGGTTCGAGGACTGGAGGTGATCCAAGGACCGTATATAAAAGAATAATCAGTGAATTCCATTAGTTTCAACAGTAAACAACAAAAAAGAATCATTCATTTTTTAAAATAAAATGTTGGAGAGTATATTTTGGCCTACAGATGCAAATGCAACAAAAGTCTCTTAAACAGCACCTATAGGTGAAAACTATGATTATTCCTTCCAAGTGAGAGTTCAAGAAACTTCCCATATAGCTCTCTAGCAACCACCACTGCATAAATCTTTGAAAAAATACCAGTATAAAGCAGCTTGGTATTATAACATGTGTAACTCCATGAAGTGATCTAGTTTGGGCCTTTACAAAATAAATTCTTTTTTTTCTTTTTTACTTATTCACTGAAGAGATTTGTACTACTGAATTAAAAATCACATCGGTATATTTGTAGGTCTCTTGAACTTAAAGCAATTGGTGAATCTCAGTGGGCTTTCAGGCCATTTGAAATAGTTACAAGCATTAGAAAAGTAATTCTGCTATAGCAATTAAATTATATAAACAGGGTGGAAGATATAGCACAGCGATTGTGTTCATGCTTACCATATACAAAACCATGGATTGGATTCCCAATTCCTCCCTCTCTCTCTCTCTCTCTCTCTCTCTCTCTCTCTCTCTCTCTCTCTCTCCATAGACACATGTATGTGTACATATATACATATATTTATATATACATTTACAAAAAAAATTATCTTCTCAGTCCACTTTGAGAAATCTAATCACACAAAAAATAAGAGCATCAATATATAACATATAGATAATTATTGAAGCATCATCTTTTTTTTTTTTTTTTTTTTTTAATTTTTTATTGTGGGTTGTTCAAAACATTACAAATTTCTTGACATATCATATTCCACACTTTGATTCTAGTGGGTTATGAACTCCCACCTTCACCCCATACACAGATTGCAGATTCACATCAGTTACACATCCATTGATTTACAAATTGCCATACTAGTGTCTGTTGTGCTCCGCTGCCTTTCCCATCATCCACCCTCCCCCCTCCCCACCTCTCCCCTCCCCTCCCCTCCTCTCTCTCTACCCCCTCCACTGTATAACCCTGAGGGTCTCCTTCCATTACCGTGCAATTTACCTTCTCTCTCCCTTTCCCTCCCACCTCTCATCCCTGTTAAATGTTAATCTTCTTCTCCTGTTCTTCGTCCCTACTCTGTTCTTAGTTACTTTCCTTATATCAAAGAAGACATTTGGCATTTGTTTTTTAGGGATTGGCTAGCTTCACTTAGCATAATCTGCTCTAATGCCATCCATTTCCCTGTAAATTCTATGATTTTGTCATTTTTTAATGCAGAGTAATACTCCATTGTGTATAAATGCCACATTTTTTTTATCCATTCGTCTATTGAAGGGCATCTAGGTTGGTTCCACAGTCTTGCTATTGTGAACTGTGCTGCTATGAACATCGATGTAGCAGTGTCCCTGTAGCATGCTCTTTTTAGGTCTTTAGGGAATAGACCAAGAAGGGGAATAGCTGGGTCAAATGGTGGCTCCATTCCCAGCTTTCCAAGAAATCTCCATACTGCTTTCCAAATTGGCTGCACCAATCTGCAGTCCCACCAGCAATGTACAAGTGTACCCTTTTCCCCACATCCTCGCCAGCACTTGTTGTTGTTTGACTTCCTAATGGCTGCCAATCTTACTGGAGTGAGATGGTATCTTAGGGTGGTTTTGATTTGCATTTCTCTGACAGCTAGAGATGTTGAGCATTTTTTCATGTACTTGTTGATTGACTGTATGTCCTCCTCTGTGAAGTGTCTGTTCAGGTCCTTGGCCCATTTGTTGATTGGGTTGTTTGTTCTCTTATTGTCTAATTTTTTGAGTTCTTTGTATACTCTGGATATTAGGGCTCTATCTGAAGTGTGAGGAGTAAAGATTTGTTCCCAGGATGTAGGCTCCCTATTTACCTCTCTTATTGTTTCTTTTGCTGAGAAAAAACTTCTTAGTTTGAGTAAGTCCCATTTGTTGATTCTAGTTATTAACTTTTGTGCTATGGGTGTCCTATTGAGGAATTTGGAGCCCGACCCCACCGACTGTAGATCGTAGCCAACTTTTTCTTCTATCAGACGGCGCGTCTCTGATTTGATATCAAGTTCCTTGATCCATTTTGAATTCACTTTTGTGCATGGCGAGAGAAAGGGATTCAGTTTCATTTTGTTGCATATGGATTTCCAGTTTTCCCAGCACCATTTGTTGAAGATGCTATCCTTCCTCCATTGCATGCTTTTAGCCCCTTTATCAAATATAAGATAGTTGTAGTTTTGTGGATTGGTTTCTGTGTCCTCTATTCTGTACCATTGGTCCACACGCCTGTTTTGGTACCAGTACCATGCTGTTTTTGTTACTATTGCTCTGTAGTATAGTTTGAAGTCTGGTATCGCTATACCGCCTGATTCACACTTCTTGCTTAGCATTGTTTTTGCTA